GTAAAATACCGTTGACTGGGACGATGGAGGGACTTCACACGCTGAAGATGTCTTCTAATGATGTTCACATATGTCCTGACGAACTCCTCACCTGCTTGGCTTACTGTTTTGTGATAAAGTATGAAGGTAGCCCGGAGCTCCACGGTGCGTCCGGTCTCCACGGTACCCCATGTGATTACATATATATACATATACATATATATATATATATATATATATATATATATATATATATATATATATATATATATATATATATATATATATATATATATATATATATATATATATATATATTTATATAATGTTATTAAATATGACCGAAAAATTCAGATTAATAATTCTAACACGAATTTTCTCAATATTTCTTATGTTTCTTTTCACTGTCAATGGTAATTGAAAAATCAATTCTCCAAAGTTAATTTTTATTTCTAGTCTGATGCGACACTTGAACTCGTTTCGTAATAACTTATTACATTTTCAAAGACTTTAGTTTACACACACACAACTATAACCTGCAAACACTAAACAGAGTTCTACTATGGTATCATCTAAACAGCTTTCATCTTATATACCCGCATTTGGGTGAGGTGATATGTTACAACAGTTTTGAATGAGGTGAATAAAGCTTTCAACACAAGATAGAGCAAACTTTCACCACAAGACAGAACACGGTGCAATGGGTATAAATTGGGTAAATTAAAGAGAAGAATGGAAGAAACTGCCGAGGGCCTATTGGCCCATAATTCTTGATGCGTCTATATTGGTGCGGAATCTTGAAGTGGGTATAATATAGTTGTGCATTAATTAGCTGTTGATTGCTGGTGTAGACTTCTTGATGTGTAGTGCCTCGCAGATGCCAAGCCGCCTGCTATCGCTGTATCTATCGATGATTTCTGTGTTTGTTAAGACTTCTCTGGTGATCATCTGGTTGTGGGAAGAGATTATATGTTCCTTAATGGAGCCCTGTTACTTATGCATCGTTAATCGCCTGGAAAGAGATGTTGTTGTCTTGTCTATATACTGAGTTCTTTGAGGCTTACAGTCCCCAAGTGGGCATTTGAAGACATAGACGACGTTGGTCTCTTTTAAAGCGTTCTGCTTTGTGTCTGGAGAGCAAGTAGATGGGAACGTTGCAAGTAGATGTATAAGCAAGTAGATGGGGTCGCCATAGGTTCTCCCCTAGGTGTCCTATTTGCGAAATTCTACATGGGTACCATCGAACAATAGGTCTTAGTCGACATGAACTTGAAACCGGCCATATACTGCAGGTATGTTGACAACATTTTTACACAGGTACCTGATGTCAGACATCTGCAGGAGCTGAAGGAGGCATTTGAGCAGAATTCTGTGTTGCGTTTCACTTACGAGATGGAGAAGGATGGGAAGCTGCCCTTTCTAGATATAACAGTCATGGAAAGGAGCGGAGGTTTCCACACTGCAGTCTACACTAAGGAAACAAACATAGGAATGTGCCTGAATGCCAACAGTGACTGCCCAGACAGGTACAATAGGAGTATTGTTAACGCTTATGTCGACCATGCTCTCAGCCACAGCTCAGGATGGAAGCAAGTCGACGAAGAACTCTGTAGGGTAAGGCAGGTCCTAGTCAACAACGGCTTCTCCAATGGTTTCGTTGAAGACATTATAAGAAGGAAAGTGAAACACCATGCAACCTCTGAAGAGACAACTAACACAACACCTGTACCCCCTATTAGACTATTTTACAAGAACTTCTTTTCCACAGCTCATAAAACGGAGGAAAGGGTCCTGAAAGATATTGTTAATAGGAACGTTATCCCTACAGACAAAAATCAGAAGATACAATAGACGATTTACTATAAAACCAAAAAAACTTTCAACCTACTCATGAGAAACTCTCCAGACACAAAGCAGAACGCTTTAAAAGAGACCAATGTCGTCTATGCCTTCAAATGCCCACTTGGGGATTGTAAGCCTCAAAGAACTCAATATATAGGCAAGACAACAACATCTCTTTCCAGGCAATTAACGATGCATAAGCAACAGGGCTCCATTAAGGAACATGTAATATCTTCCCACAACCACACCATCACCAGAGAAGTCTTAACGAAAAACACAGAAATCATCGATAGATACAGCGATAGCAGGCGGCTTGATATCTGCGAGGCACTACACATCAAGAAGTCAACACCAGCGATCAACAGCCAAGTAATGCACAACTATATTCTACCCACTTCAAGACTCAACACCAATATAGAAGCATCAAGAAATCTGGGCCAATAGGCCCTTTGCAGTTACTTCCATTCTTCCCTTTAACTTATCCTATATTATACCCATTGTTTTGTGTTCTGTCTTGTGTTGAAAGTTTGTTTTCACCTCATTAAAAACTGTTGTAACATATCACCTCACCCAAATGCAGGTATATCAGATATATATATATATATATATATATATATATATATATATATATATATATATATTATATATATATATATAAAATATATATATATATATATATAAAATATATATATATATATATATATATATATATATATATATATATATATATATATATATATATATATATATATATATATATATATATATATATATATATATATATATATATATATATATAATGTCGGTTACAGAAGGGTTCGTAGCATTGCACCAGGCGTTCGGGGATAGTCTTAACCCAGCCCGGAGAATGATGTGGTGCTCCAGCACCAGGGAGGGATAAGTCTTAACCCCCTGTTGGAAATCCTACACACATGTTAACATACTATAGTTAGCCATTTCCGAATATAAGGAAAATGGGAGATTCAGTGTCATCACAATAGACCCATATTCACAACACGTATATATTAAACTCCAATTATTCTTTTTCTAGTCTAAAGTGTTTAAACTTATTAAAAAAAATCACTAGGACTGGATATATTATAATTAGCAATAAAAATACACTACAGACTTCCTTGCTATTGTTACATAAACCTTGTCCTTAAGACAGAGTAGGAACCAACAGAGTATTGGAACGCAACCTCAGGGAAGGAGGCTGGCAGTCACGCTCTGGCTCAGACACACAAACAAAACAAAGATGGCTCCTCACGACAAGCACAACTTGTCAATGGATCCACAACGATCCGACCAACCCTCAATAACAAGGAGAAGAGCAGCTTAGTTCCCGACTCCCATTACATCTTTTATTGGTAGTGATCACTAAATATAGGATAGGTAGTTGGTTAAGCTGCAGACGAAGCCCCACAACAAAGTGAGTAGTGTTTTACTCAGCACTACACACACACAAATAATTCATGTCAAACCTGTACTTTATATGTTAATGGAACCGTTATTAATCCCATTCTTTGGTAGGTAAGTTTGTGAGTTGAAGATAATGAGGTGAGCTGGCCAACATAACTTGTGATGTTCTTGCTTACCCTAGCTGTTCCACAGACGCCACCTGAGTGCCAGCCCCCATTTTACAACTGGACCACATGTAGCCACACTCTAACAGCTATTACACTGCCTAATCAGGCCATACCTACATCATGGCTAAGATCTCACATTTGTACTAACCCATGTTTACTATAAGATTGAGTAGTACTAACCATACTGTAGATTAATTTCCACCATATATGGCATAATTTATATTATAATAAGGTAAATGTTTATAGCTTATTATATGACCACCCATTGTTGTATAAGCTGTAAACGTCCCTCCAACTATGTGCAGGTAAATTCTGGCAGGCTGAATTAAATATACAGTCCACTTAGAATCATAATCATCAATATTGAAGTGATTAAAAAATATTTAATAAATGTTCACAAAGAATAAAAACAAATAATTGCTTGCTAGGATTATCCAACACCCCCACCCAGAGCACGGAGGGGTGCTCCTAGCCCAGGACGGGGTAACAACGACGACAACAACAACAAGCACTTCACTCTCGCATCACAACACCACAACATCAACAACAAGGGAACATCAACCACAACAACAACAACAACAACAAGAGCCAGCATGACAACATTTGAGTGAATTCCCATGAACAAAACGGGAAACTTTTTCCGAGATATTATCTTACACATCACCTCAGGTGGTGTTGTTGACCCTTGTGGACGCCTGCTGGTAGATACTGGGGGAGGGTGGGGAGGGTCGGCGGTGGGGAGGGCCGGCGGTGGGGACGGCCGGCGGTGGGGAGGGCCGGCGGTGGGGAGGGCCGGCGGTGGGGAGGGCCGGCGGTGGGGAGGGCCGGCGGTGGGGAGGGCCGGCGGTGGGGAGGGTCGGCGGTGGGGAGGGTCGGCGGTGGGGAGGGCCGGCGGTGGGGAGGGCCGGCGGTGGGGAGGGTCGGCGGTGGGGAGGGCCGGCGGTGGGGAGGACCGGCGGTGGGGAGGGTCGGCGGTGGGGAGGGTCGGCGGTGGGGAGGAGACAGGGAGGGAGGAGACGGGGTGGGAGGAGACAGGGTGGGAGGAGACAGGGTGGGAGGAGACAGGGTGGGGACGAGACAGGGTGGGGAGGAGACAGGGTGGAGAGGAGACACAGAGGGAGGAGACAGGGTGGGGAGGAGACCGGGTGGGGAGGAGACAGGGTGGAGAGGAGACAGGGTGGAGAGGAGACAGGGTGGAGAGGAGGCAGGGTGGAGAGGAGGCAGGGTGGGGAGGAGACACAGAGGGAGGAGACACAGAGGGAGGAGACACAGAGCGAGGAGACACAGAGGGAGGAGACAGGGTGGGAGGAGACAGGGGTGGGAGGAGACAGGGGTGGGAGGAGACAAGGGTAGGAGGAGACAGGGGTGGGAGGAGACAGGGGTGGGAGGAGACAGGGTGGGAGGAGACAGGGGTGGGAGGAGACAGGGGTGGGAGGAGACAGGGGTGGGAGGAGACAGGGGTGGGAGGAGACAGGGTGGGAGGAGACAGGGTGGGAGGAGACAGGGTGGGAGGAGACAGGGTGGGAGGAGTCTGGGTGGGAGATGTATATAATAAATGCTGCCTAGTTTTTGGCCATACCATCGTCAGCAGTTGTCTGCTGCTGCTGCTGTCGGTCTCTGCTGCTGCCGTTGTCTGCTTGTCTTGTTCTCTCGTCGCTTCAGTTGTGAGGTAATTATACATAGCTTGTACACGATCAGTTGCCGGAGTATTTGGCCATATTCTCCCGCCCACCATATTCTACCACAACCATATTCTACCACCACCATATTCTACCACCACCATATTCTACCACCACCATATTCTACCACCACCACCATATTCTACCACCACCATATTCTACTACCACCATATTCTACCACCACCATATTCTACCACCACAATATTCTACCACCACCATATCTGCCACCACCATTCTGCCACCACCACCACCACAATATTCTACCACAACCCACCACCATATTCTACTACCACCATATTCTACCACCACCATATTCTACCACCACCATATTCTACCACCACCATATTCTACCACCACCATATTCTACCACCACCATATTCTACCACCACCATATTCTGCCACCACCATATTCTACCACCACCATATTCTACCACCACCATATTCTACCACCACCATATTCTACCACCACCATATTCTACCACTACCATATTCTACCACCACCATATTCTACCACCACTAATATTCTACCACCACCCACAATATTTACCACCACCATATTCTACCACCACCATATTCTACCACCACCATATTCTACCACCACCATATTCTACCACCACCATATTCTACCACCACCATATTCTACCAACCACCATATTCTACCACCACCACCATATTCTACCACCACCATATTCTACCACATATTCTACCCCACCATATTCTACCACCACCATATTCTACCACCACCATATTCTACCACCACCACCATATTCTACCACCACCATATTCTACCACCACCATATTCTACCACCACCATATTCTACCACCACCATATTCTACCACCCCATATTCTACCACCACCATATTCTACCACCACCATATTCTACCACCACCACCACCATATTCACCATATTCCACCACCATATTCTACCACCACCATATTCTACCACCACCATATTCTACCACCACCATATTCTACCACCACCATATTCCACACCACCATACCACCACCATATTCTACCACCACCATATTCTACCACCACCATATTCTACCACCACCATATTCTACCACCACCATATTCTACCCCCGCCATATTCTACCACCACCATATTCTACCACCGCCCCCCACCATATTCTACCCCCACCATATTCTACCACCACCATATTCTACCACCACCATATTCTACCACCACCATATTCTACCACCACCATATTCTACCAATACCATATTTTACCATCACCATATTCTACCACCACAATATTCTACCACCACCATATTCTACCACCACAATATTCTACCACCACAATATTCTACCATCACAATATTCTACCACCACCATATTCTTCACCCACAATATTCTACCCCCACCATATTCTACCACCACCATATTCTACCACCACCATATTCTACCACCACCATATTCTACCACCACAATATTCTACCACCACCATATTCTTCACCCACAATATTCTACCACCACCATATTCTACCACCACAATATTCTACCACCACCATATTCTTCACCCACAATATTCTACCACCACCATATTCTACCACCACAATATTCTACCACCACCATATTCAACCACCACAATATTCTACACCCACAATATTCTACACCCACAATATTCTACACCCACAATATTCTACACCCACAATATTCTACCACCACCATATTCTACCACCACCATATTCTACCACCACCATATTCTGCAACCACCATATTCTACCACCACAATATTCTACACCCACAATATTCTACCACTACCATATCTACCACCACCATATTCTACCACCACCATATTCTACCACCACCATATTCTACCACCACAATATTCTACCACCACCATATTCTACCAGCACAATATTCTACCACCACCATATTCTACCACCACAATATTCTACACCCACAATATTCTACCACCATTATATTCTACCACTACCATATTCTACCACCACCGTATTCTACCACCACAATATTCTACCACCACAATATTCTACACCCTCCGTATTCTACCACCACCATATTCTACCACCACCATATTCTGCCACCACCATATTCTACCACCACAATATTCTACCACCACCATATTCTACCACCACCATATTCTATCACCATAATATTCTTCACCTACAATATTCTACCACCATTATAATCTACCACCACCATATTCTACCACCACTGTATTCTACCACCACTGTATTCTACCAACACCATATTCTGCCACCACCATATTCTGCCACCACCATATTCTACCACCACCATATTCTACCAACACCATATTCTACCACCACCATATTCTGCCACCACCATATTCTGCCACCATCATATTCTACCACCACAATATTCTGCCACCACCATATTCTACCACCACCATATTCTACCAACACCATATTCTGCCACCACCATATGCTACCACCACCATATTCTACCACCACCATATTCTACCACCACCATATTCTGCCACCACCATATTCAACCACCACCATATTCTACCACCACCATATTCTACCACCACCATATTCTACCACCACCATATTCTGCCACCACAATATTCTACCACCACAATATTCTACCACCACAATATTCTACCACCACAATATTCTACCACCACAATATTCTACCACCACAATATTCTACCACCACAATATTCTACCACCACAATATTCTACCACCACAATATTCTGCCACCACAATATTCTGCCACCACAATATTCTACCACCACCATATTCTGCCACCACAATATTCTACCACCACAATATTCTACCACCACAATATTCTACCACCACAATATTCTACCACCACAATATTCTACCACCACAATATTCTACCACCACAATATTCTACCACCACAATATTCTACCACCACAATATTCTGCCGCCACAATATTCTGCCACCACAATATTCTACCACCACCATATTCTACCACCACCATATTCTACCACCACCATATTCTACCACCACCATATTCTACCACCACAATATTCTACCACCACAATATTCTACCACTACAATATTCTACCACCACCATATTCTACCACCACCATATTCTACCACCACAATATTCTACCACCACCATATTCTGCCACCACAATATTCTACCACCACCATATTCTGCCACCACCATATTCTACCACCACCATATTCTGCCACCACAATATTCTACCACCACAATATTCTACCACCACCATATTCTGCCACCACCATATTCTACCACCACAATATTCAACCACCACAATATTCTACCACCACAATATTCTGCCACCACTATATTTTACCACCACAATATTCTGCCACCACAATATTCTACCACCACCATATTCTACCACCACCATATTCTGCCACCACCGTATACTACCACCACAATATTCTACCCCCACCATATTCTACCACCACCATATTCTACCACCACCATATTCTACCACCACCGTATACTACCACCACCATATTCTACCACCACCATATTCTACCACCACCGTATACTACCACCACCATATTCTACCACCACCATATTCTACCACCACCATATTCTACCACCACAATATTCTGCCACCACAATATTCTACCACCACCATATTCTACCACCATCATATTCTACCACCACAATATTCTGCCGTCACAATATTCTACCACCACAATATTCTGCCACCACAATATTCTACCAATACCATATTCTGCCACCACCATATTCTACCACGACCATATTCTACCACCACAATATTCTGCCACCACAATATTCTACCACCACCATATTCTACCACCACCATATTCTACCACCACCATATTCTACCACCACAATATTCTACCACCACAATATTCTACCACCACCATATTCTACCAAAACCATATTCTACCACCACAATATTCTACCACCACAATATTCTGCCACCACAATATTCCGCCACCACAATATTCTACCACCACCATATTCTACCACCACCGTATACTACCACCATATTCTACCACCACCATATTCTACCACCACCATATTCTACCACCACAATATTCTGCCACCACAATATTCTGCCACCACCATATTCTACCACCACCATATTCTACCACCACAATATTCTGCCACCACAATATTCTGCCACCACCATATTCTACCACCACCATATTCTACCAACATCATATTCTACCACCACCATATTCTACCACCACCATATTCTACCACCACCATATTCTGCCACCACAATATTCTACCACCACCATATTCTACCACCACAATATTCTACACCCACCATATTCTACCACCACAATATTCTACCACCACCATATTCTACCACCACCATATTCTACCACTACCATATTTTACCACCACCATATTTTGCCATCACAATATTCTACCACCACCATATTCTACCACCACAATATTCTACACCCACCATATTCTACCACCACCATATTCTGCCACCACCATATTCTGCCACCACAATTTTCTGCCACCACTATATTCTACCACCACAATATTCTACCACCACCATATTCTGCCACCACCGTATTCTACCACCACAATATTCTACCACCACAATATTCTACACCCACCGTATTCTACCACCACCATATTCTACCACCACAATATTCTACCACCACCATATTCTACCACCACAATATTCTACCACCACCATATTCTACCACCATAATATTCTTCACCCACAATATTCTACCACCATTATAATCTACCACCACCATATTCTACCACCACCATATTATTGGGAGCAGCGAAAAGTATTAAGTTGAACAGGAAATAGTGTTTAAAAATAATCAGCGCTGCAGGCTGTGGAGGCCAGGCTGTGGAGGCCAGGCTGTGGAGGCCAGGCTGTGGAGGTCAGGCTTGGGACGCAAGGCTGTGGAGGCCAGGCTGTGTTGGTCAGGCTGGTGAGGACAGGCTGTGGAGGCCAGGCTGGGGAGGACAGGCTAGGGAGGCCAGGCTTGGAAGGCCAGGCTGTGAAGGCCAGGCTTGGGATGTCATGGTGAGGAGGCCAGGC